TGTGCTTTGCTAAGCTTGTTCTGAGTAGGTGCTTTAGACCACTGAGCCATCTCTCCAGCCCTGTTGCTGGAAAATTTGAACCATAAACTATGGGCATTTTTAAAAGCTAATAGTCACTTTATGTAAATATTCAGTAGCAGTTTGAGAATAGACAGTAATTTTTTAGTGTAACCACCTGACCTTGTGGAGGAGAGCCAGGCTGTGGTCTCCTCTGCCCCTGAGACCAGTGCAGATTGCTCACCCCTCAGGTGTGCACGGTTGAGTGTGTGAAAGAGACCTGTGCTGAGTAGGGAGTTCTCTGAAGTTAGAATGATGCTCACTGGATCTGATGGCACTGGGAAAAAATGGTAAAAAAAAATGGTAAAAAATCTTTTCATTCTAATCTCTCTTTTAGATAATTTCTAATGCAAAGAACACAGTTCAAGGATTTAAAAGATTTCATGGGCGAGCATTCTCTGATCCCTTTGTGGAGGCAGAAAAGTCTAGCCTTGCGTATGATATTGTGCAGTTGCCTACTGGATTAACAGGTATAAAGGTAAGGTTCTCAAGATAATGTCATAAGTGAAAAGCAGCATTTTGTCAGCCATTAGTGCAGTATCAGTACCTTCTTTTTTTTAAAGGTAGGATCTGACTCAGGTTGGCCTGAACTCACTATGTAGCCCAGGCTCCTGCCTCATCCTCTTGAGTGCTGAGATTGCAGGTTGTGCCACCACACCCAGCTAAGATGGGCCTAGTTCTGCTAAGACTGGTCACTGTTTAGTCAGGGTCCATGGCTGTCATCTCAGTACAGAATGGCATAGTCAGAGATCAAGCTGAAGTCCCGAGGGAAAGGGGCTTAATCCTAAGCACGAGAAGTCAGAGGACAGAAGAGGAACATGATGGGGGCGGGGGCGACTAGGTACATATGTGGGAGGAAAATTGGCTAAGAGGTAAGCACAGGGCAGAACACCAAGGGGACAGCAGTTTAGAAGGGGCTCATGAGGAGGGCTTGTGCTCTTTTTCATGTGTAAAGTGAGAAAGTGTTAGGTTCCTGGCCCTCCTTAGTGGTGCATGCGTGTGATCCCAGCACTCCACAGGCTGAGGTAGGAAGACTGCTCCGAGTTCAAGGCCAGCCTGGGCTCTATGTAATTGATACCCTGTCTTAAAAAAAAAAAGAGAAACTTAAATTCTAAACCAAGATCAGTTATGATTGAGTGGGGAAGTGAAAAGAAGGGGCCGATTGGGGCAGCAGCCGAAGAGCCCAGGGCCAGGGTGTGTGGAAGAGGTGCTCAGGGCCATTACTCCTCATTTCAGGTCTGCAGCTTTTGTCAGTAAGCGTTGGACATTTTTGTCTAGGGGAAGTCTTTATGTGGAAACTTCCCCCCTTCTAGTACTGAGGATCAAACCCAAGGCCTTTGTACTGAGTGATGTCCCCAGCCCTCTTTGAATTTTTTTATTTTGAGACAGGCTCTCACTAAGTTGCCAGAGCTGAGCTCAAAGATTGTAATTTTTTTTTCTTTTTAGCATTTTAAAAAGTTTATTGGGGCCAGCAAGATAGCCCAGTGTACTAAGCGCCTGCTTAGGCAAGTGCAGGGACCAGGTTTCAGATCCCTGGTACTGCATGCCACGCCAGCTCTTGTCCCTAGATGTGCTGGGCTGGCCACCTAGTTCGGGCATGGTGGTGCTTGCCTCTAATCCTGGCACTGGAGAGGCTGAAAACAGGAGAATCAATATGAGTCTGAGCTGTGTAGTGAGACCCTGTACCAAATATATTAAAAAAAATTATTGGTATATTTTAGATATGTTCCCCTCCCCCCTTCAACTCCTTCCATTACAAAAGCTTTTTCTCCCCCCTTCTATAAAGATTGTATTGAAATTTTTTCCCTTTTTGGGGGGAAAGGGGCTCACTCAGACCTTGCATTTTTTTCTGCAGCCTCCCAGAGTGCTGTGATTACAGCTGTTTATGGTCTGCCAGCCCTTCCCGTTCATTCTAGGTGGTGAGAGCTCTAGGAGGCGGGCGGTGCAGGGCTCTGCAGCTCTAGGAGGCGGTGCAGGTGTTACAGTTTTGTTTTCTTGCAGGTGACATATATGGAAGAAGAGCGAAACTTTACTACTGAGCAGGTGACTGCCATGCTTTTATCCAAGTTAAGAGAGACAGCAGAAAGTGTTCTTAAGAAGCCTGTTGTTGACTGTGTAGTTTCGGTGAGTTTGATCCCTATTTGGTTTAGGAACTTTGATTATGAAGCAAGGAAAAGAAATTTCTAACTGTAAATAACCAGTTTTCGTTTTGGAGCAGGTGTGGTAGTCCAGATGCTGTGCTATCAGCATCTGGGACGCTGAGTCAGGATGATGACCTCAAGTTCAGGGCCAGTCTGGAAAACAAGTGAGGCCCTGTCTCAGAAAAGAAAAACAAATTTTTGTTTTGTTCTCTTGTTTCAGATTGTAATGATTATCTCCTCACTGTTGAGCCTGTTTAAGTCTTGTGTTTTTTTTTTTTTTTTTTTT